CGGCACTCGAGGGGGAGGAAGGGGAGAGGGAGGCGGCGGGGGCGCGTGGGCGGCTGCGGCGCAGTGGGTCGGGGCAGCGGCGGCGACACGATGGAGGGAGGGACGAGGGAGGGAGTGGCGCGGTGGAGGGAGAGGGACGAATCGAAGTAGTCTGGCGAGAGGGAGGGGGGAAGGAGCGGCGCGGTGGTGTATGGATGGGGGAAGATTACTAATGGCGCACCCTCAGGCGGTGCGCCATTAGAATGTTTTTTTTCATAGCAATGGCGCACCAGCGCGACAGTGCGCCATAAGTATTCTTTTTTTAGATAGCAGTAGCGCACGAGCCACCCGTGCGCCATAAGTAAGAATTTTTTTATTGTTTTTTAAAATATGAATATGAATATGAATGTGAAACAGTAATATTTTTTTTATAAAAACAGTAATAATCGTTGTTTAACAACAATTGTAGTCTACACTTTATTATTATTATTTTTTAAAAAATGAATATGAATATGAAATAGTAATTTATTTATAAAAACAGTAATAATTTTTTAAAAAATATCATCAAATTTGTTATTTGAAAATGTCATCGGCGACGGCGGTGGAGCGGGGGAGGGTGCGGGGGTGCTCGTCGGCGGCGGTGGAACTACATATGTATGTGGCGACCTAGAAGCACCGCATATACCCTCTCCCAGCTATGAGGGTCAACCTGGAACATGATCCCTTGGATCTGTTGGTGAAGGCCTTCAAGATGAGCGGGCGGTTATGCCTCGCCGTAAAAGTGCCTGACTTCCCTCCGACTCTTCAGTTATGGGTTATGTCTCTGCCACCGCAGGACCAGTGGGCCGACAGCGACCACAAAAAGTTGTGCTGGGATTTGCACTACAGCTTCACCGCATACTACACCAACAATAATGTACCGACTAGCGTTTGGTTTGACAATGGCGAGAAGACGTTGTGCGTCAGGCAAGGGGATGTCTTGTTCAAGCATGGCACGAGAGGATGCTCACCGGAGCCGTCTCGATATTCTTATTGTCCAGAATGCGACCAGCGACTCGAGCTGCCGCCAACACCGTCGAACTACATATGGAACATTTTGGGGGGCTATCGCCCCAGCTTGCAAAGTATATATATATAGTATATATATAGGTAAAATTGTGTCTACCATAGCTTGTCACAGAACTAGTTAAGTTTCCCTAAACTTCCAACGGTTCAAAAGTTATCAAAAAATATGAAATAAATATGGGAGCATCTCTCTAATGTAATAAGATGATCCAACGGAGGGATTGTCAAAATATGCATCTATGTGTCCTCGACAAAAATAATAAGCATTTCAACTCAGTGCGACATAAATATATACTGAACTATTTGTATTTTTTTAATCCCTTCGTTGGATCATGTTATATTATAGGTGTGTTGGTTCAGTATTTTTTTCAGAATTTTTGAGAACTTTTGCACCGTTGAAACCCTTAACTAGTTCTGTGGCAAGCACTTATATATATATATATATATATATATATATATATATATATATATATATATATATATATATATACACTAATGGCGCACCGTGGTAGAGTGCGCCATTACTAGTTTAAACTAGTAATGGTGCACTTTGCAACGGTGCGCTATTAGTAGTTTTGCAAAAAACAGAATAAAAAAATACATTAGTGACGCACTCCATGGCTGGTGCGCCATTATTAGTTAGAACTACTAATGGTGCACTTTGTCAGGATGTGCCATTAGTATGTAAAAATGAAAAAAAAAATGTTACTTGTGGCGCACCTTGTGCCCGGTGCGCCATTAGTGTCTTCCACACTAATGGTGCATCGCCACATGGTGTGTCATTAGTATATAGTAGTGGCGCACCACTTCTCTGGTGCGCCATTAGTGTCAATTTCATCTATAGCCCTTTTCCTAGTAGTGATATCACTTCATTTGCAATATAAGCTTTAAATTACTGCAAGTGAATTTTCTCCGATTGACATTAAAGTTACATAATAAAGTTTAATATATCATAATCTTTATCTACATTATTACATGGCTAGTTTTGCAAACTATAACAGGAAATTTTAGTTGTAAAATTCATACATTGAGTGAATGTATTTAAAGAAAAGTAAAATTATTTAACTTAAATTAATCATAGTTGTAGACATGTCAACATATGCGGTTGGAATCAACTGTCTGAAGAAAAAATAACCAATTCCAGTAAAGTAACCAAACAAGAACAACAATCTTCGAACGAACATGGAAGATTCATGGATAGAATTTTTCATATCTATAATGGCATAAGATACGACGATGGTGGCAACATGGCACATCATGACCATGCCAAAATGTGTGCGGTTGGAATAGTGACCAGAATTCTTCTCAAAGAGAGATCCAGATGTGAGTATGTGACAGAGACATAGCCCTCACCGGTGACATACCTTTTGACATCTGATCTAAAGGAAAAAAAGCAAGAAGAGACAACAATCAAGAAACCAAATAAACAACAATATCAGGAAACCGGACAATAGTTCTTGCACACACGTAAGCAAAAGATATATGTTTGTTCGACGCAGGCCCTCTGAATCTTGAGTTGGTTAAGTACGATAGTCTGCTATTCCATTGTGCAAGAACATGATTTATCACAAAATAACCAAACACACATTGGCATGTATTTTCATTAGTGTGTGAATGCATGAAAAAATGAGGTCCAACACCGTCTTGCAAACATCCCTCATAGCACTCAACAAAGCCAATATTTTTGAAATGCGAGAGTGGGTGCAAGAAGAGAACCAATGAAGAGGCAACAAACATATAGTACGCAAGCACGCGGATGTTAAAAATAATCTTGTTGTTGCATGCACAGAAGATCTAAGAATTTGGAGTGCTTCACGTCACCACAATCACATCTTCCATCAATAGCATTGTTCGTGGCTAGTTCCTAGATAGTAGAATTGTGTCTGATTTAAAGTTTGTGTTAAGTTATGATCTCAAATCTGTTATTGTGTTGGAGACAACAATAACTCATGGTAGAAGTTCTGCGAGATGTTTACAACTTCATCTTGGTACCAAACTCATTTTCTTGTCCTTCAAGGACTCTTTTGTATTGCCCTAAGTGTGGTACAAAAACGAAAATCGGAGGTCACTATTTTTTTTTTTGAGAAACAAACACTGTGTTTTTTAGGGCTTCATTGTTGTTTGTTAACGGGAGTACGGGAATATGTGAGCATATGGCCAAAAAACAAACCAAGGCCCAATTGCAAATGATCCAAAACTTGCCATGGCCCAAGTGTCTAAATCGTTAGTTGCTGGAAACCAGGAGCTTGTAAGGCTGAATGCGTGAATCTGCGGATACACCTGTAGTTCACCGGCTACACCCTATCCGCTGCCGCACACTACGGCGGCACTAGTATGGATCGCGGCAACTGAAGAACGATGCTATGACATCCTCCCTGGCTCATGGCTCCTATCTTGCCGGTTGGTGCTCACCTAATCGATTTGTATTGTCATATGACTGGCGACCGAACAATGAAAAAGCGGAAAGACCGGAAATAATTTGTTCATGCATTTTCGATGATAGAATTTCTAGAAGTTGCCCCAAACAGGCCGGGGGTCGGCTTACCTCTATATATAGACAAGTAGTCGCACTTAAAAACTACGCGTCATCTCATGCTTGCCATCTTCTCAATCATAGTGAGATTGCACATTCATCTTTCATTTAATCTCCTTCTATCTAACAATTTGAGTCGTAGCGTAAGTCTGAAAGCAGTCCAATTGTCCAAGTTTGAGCCTAAACATGTGTTAGAGGTAGCGTCGTGTTGGGCACGGTTACGTGTTGAGTTGGACATGAAGTCGTCTTGTAAGAGTTCAAGAAAGGGATTTTTTCTGCCACTTTAGATTTTTGCCAGTTTTCCCTATGCCACTCTAGATTTGACATTTCACTTTTGCTGCTCCTAATTTTTGAAAATTATCACAATTACCATTTATTGTGATAATGGTCAAAAACTAAAAGTGGCAAAAGCGAAATGTCAAAACCTAGAGTGGCATAAGGGAAATTGGCAAAATCTAGAGCGGCAAAAACAAAATTCTCCCTCGAAGAAAAGATGCAAGTTGTGCATCGCAAAATCTGTGTGTTCACGTTCATGCTTGCATGAGTTTCGAAGTTACGATCTGAAAACGATTTCAAACGGCAGAAACTAGGTTTCTGAACCAAGAATAGCCACAAAGACAAAGTTGTCTAGTTGGCCCGTTGGATCTCCGTATGCCGTTGCGAATGTCCCGTTTCATGAGCTTGAAGTACCATATACGCCATGCAGTTGATGATCTTGAGTAATGACACACGATTCTTCCATCCATTCCCTCGTGCACACCTTGTGCTTAATTAATTTACATTGCGCGCAGCTAGCGAGAGGACCTCTCGCTCGCTCGATCATGGTACAAATAAACACACAAAGTACGTGCAGCTACACGTTGATCCACGACGTACAAGTACACATGCATATCTCGTCCGATGGACGGACGGACGGACGGACGGCTAAACACATTTAGCTTCCGGGGGCGAAGTTGGTGGCGAAGGCCCAGGCGTTGTTGTTGACCGGGTCGGCGACGTGGTCGAAGAGGTTCTCAACTGGCCCCTTCCCGGTGACGATGGCCTGCACGAAGAAGCCGAACATGGAGAACATGGCGAGGCGGCCGTTCTTGAGCTCCTTCACCTTGAGCTCGGCGGCGGTGTCGGGGTCGTCGGCGAGGCCAAGTGGGTCGAAGGCGCCGCCCGGGTAGATGATGTCGAGGCCCTCGCCGAGGGGCCCGCCACCAACACGGTAGCCCTCGATGAAGCCCATGAGCACCACCTGCACCGCCCAGATGGCGAGGATGCTCTGCGCGTGCACCAGGTTGGGGTTGCCCAGGTAGTCGAGGCCGCCCTCGGAGAAGATCTGGGCGCCGGCCTTGAACCACACGGCCTCGCCGAACTTGATGCCGTTCTTGGACAGGATCTCCGGGAACACGCACCCGAGGGCGCCGAGCATCGCCCACCGCGAGTGGATCACCTCCAGCTCCCTGTTCTTGGCGAACGTCTCGGGGTCAGCAGACAATCCGGCGGTGTCCCACCCGTAGTCGCCGGGGAACTCGCCGGTCAGGTACGACGGGGTCTGCTCGGAGAACGGGCCCAGGTACTTGGGACGGTCAGGGCCGTACCTACACATCCATTCATTCATCAGCAAGGTGCATTAGTCCAATGGTGTATCTTCATCAGGGGGAGCGAACCATGCATGGGAAATATTAGTAGTACGTACCAGATGCTCTGGGGCGCGCTCTTGACGGTCCGGCGCATGGTGATGCGGCCGCCAAAGTCGCCGACGCTGCGGACGAGGTCATCGCGCCGCGGGGCGGTGCCGAGGAAGCTGGTCGTCTGGTGCAGCGCCGACGCGGCCATTTCGCTGGTGGCTGGGGCTGCCTGCGAGCTCAGTGAGATGAACTGGTGGATGGTGTGTGTTTGGGTGGAGATGTCCGGTGCGCGACGTGGATCTTTATACGGCGACTGAGGCGCGCAGGGCACAACTGGTGGATGCGGGGAGCGACACGTCCGCGCGACCCCATTGGCCGCCCCGATGCCTCTGGATATGGGTCGGTATCCAGCGTCCCCAGAGTGTCCAGTCGCCGGCTGCCACCTGGAGGCAAACCGGATTTGCTCACCCACACTCTTCGGTACATGCAGCATGAAAGTCTTTCGTTCATCAGTCAGTGAAAAGGAAATAATATTTGTTACAAGAATGAAATCACATAGGAGGTGTTTGGCTACAAAAATGGTAACGGCACGTAATGAGTTTTTTTCAAGTTTATTTGGTTCACGTCTGGTAAAGGAATTGATTACCGTCGCTCTCTTGCTTCGGCCATGATCTTAGCATCGCCGGCCATTTCGAAGGGTATAGGGGAGGCACCGGCGTCGGACTCAAAGAGGATCATGGAGGCGGCGGCGGACGAGCCGGAGGGGTTTGTGTGGGGAGGAGGGGGCTCTAGAGTGAGGAGGGGATCGTGGGCTTTGTACCGTAACCTTTACCGATGGGTTGTAAGCAGTATCGATAAATAACTGGGCTGGACCCATTTACGGGGGGGACGTGTTTACCGAGATGAGTTTCCAAACGCAGCTAGTGTTTTCCCTTTAAGGTGTAAACAGGTGGGGGGCAAAAATCTCTGAAACAAACACCTTCATAATGGTTAGCACTAGAAACAATGGTACACATAGAGACGACGTCTTATGGAATCAGCTCACGGGCTTGTGTGGCATTTTTTTGGTTGGGGGCAAATCATGGGAGGGGCCCACAGTTAAATTCGGTGGTGGTAATTCGTTAGTGGGAGGTCTCCACAAGTTAATTGCATAGGTAGCCTGTAAGTGTAGACAACACCTTAGTGAAGACACCTTAGTGAAGACAAGTTATCACATATAAAGGTGCAACAATGCTTTCGAAGGTGGAAGAATTAATAAATCCTTACAAAGGACAGTGCGAGTATCCTATTCGTGATGTTTTCTTACTTGTTTATGTCTACAGGATCCTACAAATGCGTTCGAATGCTCATATGACAGAAAATTTTGTAGCTTGGAATTATACATGACCAGTACGGTTTGCTTACCGTAAGAAGTTCGAGCATCAGGATGGAACACATCTAATGAGAGCTGATTGTCAAGGTAGAGAACAAGTTAATTTTGTTTGGAAGGATATGTGGATGCTGAAAATACCATGAAAGATTAAGCATTTCACATGGAAGGTTTTGCACGGCGCACTCCCATGCTTGGGGGTACTAGCAAATTGGCACATTCCCCGCCCACCTCAATGCCCGGTGTGTTCGATCGGAGATGAAGACATCCAACATTATTTGTTTAAATGCTGACGAGCAATGAAGTTTGGGATCTGTTGGGCTTGTTGCAAGTCATTCAAATGGATGTAATAGATCGGGGTCTATTACCATGGAGATTCTCTCGAAACTACAAGGCGTTGATGGAGATTTACCAAGGGCGGAGCTTGCCGTCATAGCAGCGTGGTATATATGGTGGCAACGACGCCAAATAGTGAAGGGGGTTCAAGTCCAGACGCCTGAGAAAATTGCACTATCTATCAGGGTTTTGGCGATGAATTACCTAAGATCAATCATACCCAAAGGTCCAACTAGGGAGACTGATCATATGTGGAAAAAAATCATGGGATGGTGAAGATAAAATTTGATGCCTCCTTTCATAATGAAACACTCTCAGGTGTTTGTGGCGATGTGGCTCATGACGACCGGCGTGATTTTATAGCCGAACAAGTTGGTTTGTGCCCAATATCCGTGATGTGGATTCTGCAGAGCTAATTGCCATAAGGAACATACTATACTTGGCGGGCCATATCAGCTGTTCTAAGGTGGAAATCGAATCTGATTGTTCCTTTGCAGTTGATACTATCAACCAGATTGAGCACTACTTAGGTCCTGAGGTAGCAACCATCACAGAGTGCAAACAAATGATTGTGGACTTTGCAAAGATATCCTTGAAACACTGTTTCAGAGAGGCAAATCAGGTGGCAGACGAAATAGCAAAGAACTCTTTTAGCAATAGATTTTCAGGTTCATGGGATGATGAGATCCCCGATTTTATATCTCATTTGCTTGTAAATGGCATGTCCATTATTTGAGGAATAAAATCGATTTGATGTAAAAAAACACTTTAGCGAAGACAAATTTCCTACCTTACTTTAGATCCTTGTGATATCATATAATTTGTGCAAATGGCAAAACATAGGGAGCAGGACATGTACTTTATCCTTGTGCTATCATAAAGTCTGCACATGATGACATGCGGAATATTGCATCTTCGTAATAATATACAATTTGCAATTGAACACGTGTACTATGAGTTGCACAAATCAAACATGAGTATGTTATTGTATCAAGACTTAGAATCACAATTGTTGTGAAACAAAAAAAAACTAAAATTGTTTAAAATTGCTAAAGGTGGAATTAATGGCAGCCTATCACAACTATACATTTGAAGAAACTTTGCCTGGATCTTCAAGCACGGGATCATCTATTACACACCAAAGAAGACCACAACATGATGTAGGAGGAGCAAGACTTGCACAGGATCATCAAAAAGCCTGTTTAGCTGTATTGTTTCCAGGCATAGAGATAGGCGTACTTTTTTCACGCATCGACATGTACACGAAGCTATTGATGCCACCTCTGTTGAAGAATAAGTGGCATCAACAATTATACTCAGTGCAGAAGTATCTTCTAGCATCTATTTCTCAACGTTGTCATCATCGGCTCTCCAAACGAAGAATCTAAATCTAGGCCGATACGACTAATATATCGGTATCGGGGGTTTACGTATCATTCTTGGTAAATATCGTTTTCACACATACCTTCCGATATTATTCATATAAAGGATGGAGTACCCGTCTCTTGGGGCATTCACGCCCTCACACATCCTCCGCGGCTCCGCCCCGTCAGATCCAATTGGGGCACGCACCGCTGCCTGACTAGTGCCCTTCCAATCACCTGATCGTGTTAGTCCATGTCTCACCATCCCCATGGCTCCTGGGTCCATGACACGTGGGCTCACTGGTAGAAAAAGAGGCTTCCGTCCAGCCCTATTAGTCGCGAAACTGTAGGAACCGCGACTAACGAAGTCTTTAGTCGCGGTTCGGCAAACGAACCGCGACCAAAGGCTTGGGCCAGGGCGCTCGGTGGCCAGCTGGTGCACGTGAGGGGCTTTAGTCGC